GCCTCCTGCGCCAGCCCCGCGGGGCCGCTCTCGGCGGCGGCTGAACTTCACCTTCACGTTCCTGTCCTCTTCCTTCAGCAGGTCTTCCAGGTTCGTCGCTTTCTCCTCCGCTGACATCGTTTTCTCCGTTATCTGCGATAGTTTGTTTCTGGCAATCTCATTACAGTTTTTGATTCTGTGCAACCTGGAGAGGGTTTGCAGTGAAGAGACAGAAAGCGGGTCCAAAGGCGTTTAATGCAAACGCACAAGGAGCAGCTTGTCCCGTGCTTTCTTCATATAACCTGGGGGTTTCCTTTACCATAAGCCCTTTTATTACCAATACACATTTAATAAGCCACAGAAAGTACTGCTCCTGAGCCTTTGCGAAAAAAACCCTGGGAAGTTTTTTAATTTAGTAATTTAGTAGCTATAATTTGATAGTTATGTAACTAACAAAAGCAATTTGATGTTTCTAGAAGTAGTTTAAAACGATAAGCGTATTTAAGTATCTTTTTTCTTACCTTATTGTTTCATCATGAATATCTATCTTTACTTTGGAAATATTTTTCCTCAGAGCTTCCACATCACTGGAACTTCTATTCACGGTGGCTTTTAAAGAATCCAGCTATTAATTAGTTAACAAACAAAGTACATATTTATAGTTTATAAACGAATTTCATTGCCCAAAATGTCTATTCAAAACACTTGAGTTTCTAACCTGCAACACTCCCATAAGTACAGTGTAACCATACTGCTATAATATACATGAACAGTTTTCCTTTTTGATCTAATATTACGGTTTAAATGACTTGTATAATACTGGCAAATTATAGAGACCCACAAATATGTGTTTAAAATACATTAGATCAAAACTTCACAACACTGGGTCTGATAATAATTTCTTTGATGTGACACCAAAGGCACAGGGAAAAATTAAAAATCAGACAAATTGGACTTTATCAGAATTAAACACTTTTGTGCGTCAAAAGACAGTATCTGTGCAGTAAAAAGGCAATCCACAGAATGGGAGAAAATTTGCAAATCAGTATGTGATAAGAGATTAATACCCAGAAGGTATGGAGACCTCAAACTCAACAACAACGAATGATCCAAAACTGGGCAAAGGGCCTGAACAGTCATTTCTCCAGAGATGACGTACAAATAACAAAAAAGCACATGAAAGATGCTCGGCAGCATTAGCCATTAGGAAAACGCGAATCAAAACTGCAATGAAATTCCACCTCACACCTGTTATGAGGGTTACTAACAATAATAACAATAATAGTAACTACTATTGGTGAGAACCGGCGAAATTAATCCTGTTGGTACAGCCGCTGTGGAAAACAGTATGACAGTTCTGCAAACAAGTAAAAATAGTTACCATCCGACCCAGCAATTCTGCGGCAGCTGTACACCCACATTCACAGCAGCTAAAGGGGGGAGCAACCTAAGTGTCCACAGACAGGTGGATGGATAAGCAACAGGCCCCGGCATTCAGGAGGAAGGGAATTCGGACATCTGCTACAACACGATGAATCCCGAGGACATTATACTAAGTGAAATAAGTGAGGTCAGCCGGTCACAAAATACTGTATGATTCACTTACATGAGGTACTCAGCAGTCAAAGTCATGGAGACAGAGTAGAACGGCAGTTACCAGGGGCTGCTAGCAGGGGGAAGGCCGGGTTATTATTTAATGGGTTCAGAGTTTCAGTTTTATAAGAAAAAGAGAGTTATGGAGATAGATGGAGCTGATGGTAGCACAACATTAGGAATGTATTTAATATCCGTGAACTGTAAGCTTAAAATGGTTAAGATGGTAAATTGTATGTTATGTGTATCTCACCACAATAAAAAAAAAATTGGAGAAAAGAAATAAAGTACTGCTATGTGCTACAACATGGAGGAACCTTGAAAATATTATGTAAGTAAAAGAATCCAGACACAAAAGGCCCCATACTATATGACTTCATTTATCTGAAATACCCAAAATAGGCAAACCCCTAGAGACATAAAGTACACTAGTAGTTGCCAGGAGCTGGTTGGAGGGGAGAAAGGAGAGTGATTGTTAATGGGTGTGGGGGTTCTTCTTAGACTTAGAGTGACAAAAATATTTTCAAATGAGAGGGTGGTGATGTTTGTACAATTCTGTGAGTACACTAAAAATTATGATATGTGGATTATGTCTCAATAAACAAATTATGAATGAATGAAGAAATCCTTGCATTCTTTTCTGCAATTGCTTTAAACTCTAAAATGTTTAAAAATGAGCTATTAGCAGTGGCATTTAACTTAGAAATTCATTTGTTTTACTTTTTTTAGGATCTTCTGTGACTATTCTCTTTGAGCAGAATAAGAACTTTCCCTCTTTATCAGAAATAAAAAGCATAACAATTTATAGAGTAAAGTGCTCTACAGTATTCCAATTTCCCACCTAAACAATGTAAACTTCAGATAACAAGGTCTTAGACATAAATTTCATAAAGATCTCTTCACTGCTAGCTAAGGGGACTGCTACCTCTCCCCATGGAATCATCTAGTTGGCATGAATGCCACCAAAGAAGACAAGAACACAACAGAAGTTTTCTTCTCTCTCAGGCGGTTTCAAGGTATTTGAACATTACATTGTCCCACTACCAGACCAAAATTTACCCCTTAACAAGGTGAGAAACTGAATTTAAACAGGTAGCCCCACTTAGAGTTTGAGAGTTAAAACCCCTATACACATGTAGCACTGGAAAGACACTTGAATTTATCACTAATGCCAATATTCACCTTCATATTTTCCCATTTTCCGGTTATCACGTAATTATGATTTCCAGCCTAGCCCCTTCAGGAGCCTTTTGCCTTGGGCCACTAACAAAACACGTGCGACAGGCAAGTTAGGCACCGCACAACTCCAGGGGGGCCCTTCACACCACCTGTGAGGTGAGTGGCGCCCCCCGATGCCGTCACCAGTCAGGGGCTCAGAGTACCCTAAAAGTTCGACAACACGGAGGGATGAGACAAGAGCAAAAGGCAGGAATCTGTCACAAACACACAAGCCAGTCTTTTGAGTGGGCATACCTCATCCTTCAGCTGGTTCCTATTAACTTCATGCTGCTGATACTCCATTCTGCATTTTAAAGCTTTACGATCAGCAACAGAAATTCTTTTCTCGTACTCTATGTTATTTCCAATCTCATTTTCCAGGAACTTGATCTTTTCCTTCACCACACTTTCTTTTTCTCTTACTTCCTGCTTTATCTTTGCTAATGCCTAGGATTAAAAAAAAAAAAGTTAAATATATGTTTAATATGATGAAGAGAACAAAAACTAACAGGAGCTTAGTTTTCATTTTTCTATTATATTTAGTATTTATTTTATCAAAACTTCTTAACAGAATTTTTTTAGAGATTATATTTATATGCATTAAAACAAAATATTAATATGCTACATACCAAAAATAATAAACTCATATTTTTTAAAGGTTTCTATATTTCCTTCCAGCTACTTGGTACTTCGCTAAAGAGATGAGGAAAATGTCAATCTTTTACAGATGAAAGGTGACATCTAAAAGCATCTAACAGTGTTAATATTTCCAAATAGAAAGCTGAATTTCAATGACATTTTCCAAATATTTTACAGGGCCAGGTCTGTTTGTTTTTTCACCTTTTGAGAATAGCATTTTAGTTATTGGCTTTAATAGGAATGCCTTCGCTCACGCTTTTTGCTGATCTTGGCGACACAAAATTAACAGAATGTACAAAGTAGAAACTGAGATGTGGAACAAAGAGAATGAGGCCCACCTAAGAGGAATCATTGAAGGCATTATCTAACAGGCTTAACTCAAGCCAGGCCTGAAAAGGTAAGTGGAGACGCATGAAAACTTCAATGTGGTTAAAGCTCGGGGTGGGAGGGCAGGGATAGAAGGGGGATATGCTGAGGAGCTGAGGAGGGGTGGATACAGATGAAAGGGAGGAGGCTAGAAAGGCAGAGGTTGGGGCTGAACTGCCAAGAAATCCAAGTTTTCTATTGTCATGCTAAAGGGGGTCAACTTTTAAGCGATATGGAACAAAGATGACTGTAGAGCTGGGGAATAAAAAGATAATGCGTGGTTTTTACAAGTGATTATTATTGCAATATGTTGGATGAATTTCAGGGAGAAGAAAAATTTACTCTAAAATACATTTCTTTCAAGTTTTCCAGAATGGGGTCCCACCAAACAACTAATTCCAGGAAATGGGATTGGGGAGATAAGTGGTCTGAAATCAGCAAGTTTTAGATATGCTGCGTGGAATATTGTACATATTAGCATATTAAATGGATATATATATATATGAGATGCACTACATTTTAAAAAAACATTTTTGTTTAATCTAGTATTCCCATATGTTCCCTATAACAAGTAACATTCTATAATTGTAGCATTCTATATATCTACTGGGTGCATTCAACCAAAGGACAGGTCAAAACTTCTTAGGTTTATATATGGCAAATGATCATTGTAGAATTTCCTGCCTTATATTGATTTTTCTACTTAATCAGATGCTTTAGCACCTACTTCAACATTCACATTATTTAAAAGTGCTATCTTTCGCAGTTAAGTTTTCATATAGGTAATGCTTATTAGTAATATCTCAAAATGTTTACACTAGAATAAAAGCATAATAGAAAAATATTTCTAAATGATGTAAAAGTTTCTTTTAAGAAGTCAGTTTCAGGATCCTATGGTCAGACTCCTGCCAAGAAGACACTGAGAAGGCAGGAATTGTTTTGGAAGAAAAGGAACAAAAGGGTCCAATGTGCTAGTTAATCCTCTAGTGGGGTGAACCAGCTCCTGCTGGCTCATCACAACTGACTTGCACATCTCTTCTCAACGCTGCATTCGGTGGAGCCGTGTTGGTAAGGAAGCAGTTTCACCACAGAAGTCAGAAATGCTACAGACTGGGAGCCAGTTGTTAAATACTTAGAAACACACCTCTACCTATGGAGCCACTTTTCAGCACCCTCCCGGGTCTCCTACAATACCCCCAGGAGATAGCAACCAGCAAGTAAGGCACCACTGTGAAGATGACAAGACGTGTACTCTGCGGAATCAGGAGGCTGAGTCGATGCAGCTGTGGGGCTACATGAGCATTCCATTGTGACCTGCAATCTCAGATTCGGCACATTTTATTTATACAAAGGAAGTAGTTTAGGACTTGATGTTTGAAAGCAGTAAGAAGTCAAGAAAGAGAAACTACTATCAGCATTAAAAGTTAAGAGGAACTCACAGTTAAGGTTGGCTCCCCCTTGTCCCTCCTAGGGAGGCATAGGCCATTTTGTTGATAAAATGTTGGTCACTTACAGAAATTTAAAATAAAAGAATGGCATATTTGCATATAACAAGTAAACCGCATCTGGATATCAAAATTCCTAACTCAGTGATCTGAGCTGCTTACCAAATGCCTTTCCGTGGAGTAGGTTCAGAATGTTAACACATCTTCTCAACTGTCTTCTTTCCTCCTCAATCCTTTCTCCTTCCAAACTTTCCCTACTCTTCCCATTTTAATTCACCACTATTTTACCTCTTAATGAATTCCCAAAAAAGTTCCAAAGTACCCTGGAAAGTAGCAAAAGATAGTACTAGCTCTGTATTTCATGAGTGTGGTATCCCTCCCCTCCAAGCTTCTACCCCGTTAGTGGTGCCTCAGCTTCAAAAGTGAAACTTTATTGCAGGCGTGGTTTCCTTCCTGACTCTCCCTCCTGTCTCTTGGCTCTCCAGGAGGCTCATTTCCCCGCACCTAACTGTGTGCACAGATAGCAGGCATGTTAAATTCAAGGCACCTTAAACAACTGTGTGTAAGTAGAGCACTGGTTTTACTGCAATAGCATTATCTGTTAACTTTCTCTTGTTCCACGGTTCAGAGATGGCAGGATCTAGTCTTTGTCATTATAATACCATAAATAATATACATAAAATCACATTTCTAAACCGATGGAGTCTGCTTTGAAAAACATTTACCAAAACTACTGAATTTCCTACAAAAGTGACTTTCAAACAACAATATGATTTACATTTGAAATGAGTGAGTTAAACACAAAAGAGATCAATACAGCTGAACATTGCGAGGAGCAAAACTACTTTACCAAGGCACAGTTGTCAATGTCTCGATCTCTCTTCTGCATCTGTTCTATTGTGCTCTCCCACTGTTTAATAAGTTCTTGTCTTTCAGTATGAATCCTACGAAAATCTTGTGCTGCTTTATCCAATTCTAACTGTTAAATAGAGAGCAAATAACATTTCTGTAAATATAAGTGCTTTTGCAAACATCACTTTGACAATTAAGAAATAAAAATCTTCACTAAACCAACCTGCGCACTTAGAGTCTCTGTAAGTTCGTTGTCAAGTACCTTTCTTTTCTGATTACTTTCCAGAGTCAGTCTTTCTAATTGCAGGGTCAGTGCCTGTGTAGTTCCATGGAAAAATAGTCACGATTATCATTTGATTAACTTAAAAGCTGTTAGTATATTTCATAATAAGTATTATTATATTATAGATATACATTTATTTGATATCTAAAACAACTACAATATATATATATATATATATTCTTTATCTTTTAACCTCAAAGGGCTGCAATAAAAACTCAATTGTTTTTAAAAAGACTTTTAATACATTTTAAAGTATGCTAGAAAAAGGATTAAACAACTTTCCACTTAAAATTATGCATTTGGTATTAAGCCAAAATAGCATGTTTCGTAATACTCAAGTATTACCAGATTTCATTACAAGTAGATTTTAAATAATGATTATAATAAATACTAAATAAATAATCAATAGCACTAAAGTCTCAAATAAGCAAAAAGCTCTATGTAACAAATTATGATTTAGACAAAACAAGTTAAAATACTTCTACATAGTTCAAATACAACACTTTTCTAAAATGCTTTTGATAAAAACCTTCTTCTCAGTCAGGATTCTTAACCTGGAGTCCAAGGATCCCTAAACGGTAAAAGGGCTTCGGAGGACCTGAAAAACTTTCAGCAACATTTTGTAGGTATTTGAATATAATCATTTTTCTAGAGAGAAGATACTTGGCTTTATCAGATTCTGAAAAGAAACTCTAGCCCAAAAAATGTTTAAGAAATACTGCTTTACAATTTTAAGTCCGATTTAGATAAAAAAGCTGACGCACCACAATTCAGAGAACCCTACATTACGATTTCTAACTCCTCACCCTAATTTTGTCATCATCCCGCCGCGCGTACTTCTCGAGAGTGAGGGCATCGCTATCCCTGTGAGCGGATTCTTCTAGCCAGGCCTCCAGGGCCTGCTGGTCCCAGTTCATTTGGCATTTCAAACCATCCAGTTTTTGAGTAAATTTAAATATGTTATTCTAAAATCCAAAGAGAAGGGATGGGGGGGATTACAAAACACTGTTTACTATACGAGCTAAAATAAAACGTAACATTACATACTATTCGGAACATATAAAAAAAGGAAGAAAGAAACCCTATCCCTGACCTCCAGATGAATATAATATACCATATTTAATTATGTAACTGCCGCACTTGTATTTTAATTCTTTAGTTGTAAGACAGAGGAGAAATGATTATACAGAGCTGAGAACAGTAGTTGCTTTAAGAGGCTTCAGGGCAGGTCCTGAAAGCAATCTCGTTAGTCACCCCACAGCAGCCACCCCAAGGGAACGCACGATCTTAGTAAAACCAGCGCACTTCATATGCTAACCCAAGCCCAAGACAAGTCCCCTTCAGCCCCACTTCCAATCAGTTGCTGCCTCTAAGAGGCCTCTTATGTAGAAATTATGGAAGCACTTCTAATTGCAATAAATACAGAAGTTAAGAAGATAAAAATATTTCTGTAAATGTAGTCATTTAACAAATCTAGATTCATAAAAGAAAACTGATGAATATACAAATACAAATTAATATAATAAAATATGTATGTGTATTATATATATATACNTATATATATGGTGTTCCAAAAAAATGTATACACACTTTAACAGCTGATAACTCACTTGATTTTCACTCCTTTTCAGGTTTAACTGATTTGAAATAATGGGTGAAGCCAGACTAAGCTTTGAACAAAGAAAGTTCATCCTAAAGTGCCAGTAGGCTTTTTTAATGGGGATACTTGAAAGATAAAGTTTACGGTTCAAAACCGGTAACAGTCGATGAGCTGGAGGCGCACAAATACCANTCGATGAGCTGGAGGCGCATAAATACCGAACGAAATGATTCTTGATGTTGCGATTCCACTGCTTGGCGTTATCGGCAGTGCCTGGACCAGCACGGTCATCAGTTTGAAAACAGGCATTGACAAAGAAATTATTCATTTCTGTAGATTCTTTTAAATTTTGAAAATGAACTGTATGTGAATAAACACTGGCTTTATAATCATTCAAAGTGTGTATACCTTTTTGGGGACACCCTGCGTATGTGTGCATTTCCACATACATGTGCATATGTACAGAGAAGAAGCAAATTTGGAAAGACGGCCCAAATCAAGTAACTAAAAACTAAGAAAAAGTAGGTACAGTAGTTCTGAATATTGTCACAAGCTTATAAGTTAACATGAAAGGCAAAAATTTTAAATAAAGAATGAAATTTAAAATTAAAAGTAATTTTTTTAAATGTGGCTTTTAAAAATGTAGCACTTATGAGTAAATTATGCCTAGTATTGTATAACAGGCAACCAACATGATAGTTTGCACACAGTAAGGCTCAATGAGTATTTGGTAAATGAATATTTGGAAAATAAAAATAACATTCTATCATTGTTTCATTCAAATCATAGCTCTACAGTGCCTTTCATTGTCCAAGAAAACAATATAAGTAATGTCAGGAAACTAATGAATGCCTTTTCCATACAGAAAAAAAAAAAAAAAAAATTAAAAAAAATCAATCTTTGTTTGGTGAGGGAAGAAGGAACAATGGCAGAAAGTTTTAAGTAACATTTCAACACATACTTCCTTATCACTTTTCTTTTCCCGTATTGAAGCTATTTCATTTTCCAGTCGTTGGATTTCATTCCTCACTCGACCCAATTCTCTTTCAGCAATGATCTTCAAATGTTCTTCACTTTCAATCTCATGATCCCTGGCTTTGCAAAGAGCCTACAGAAAAACATACAAGATAGAAAGACTTTTTAAATTTTAATATAAAAAATATTTATAATAATCCATTAGACAAAAACATAACAAAGTTCCCACAAAACGCTTAGATTAAGTATTATTAATTCCACTTATCTTAAACCTACACCACATTAGACTTTGTGATTCAGTATCGTCAGCGTTGTTTACTGGTTGTAAGAGAGTTCATGGAATGTGCTAGGGGAAAATATTGTTGTCAGCAGTTCTCAGGTACTACATTGGTCTAGGGAAAGTGCAGAAAACCAAAGTTTATACGTAGTTAGACTTAAAAAATCTAAATTATAAGTTAACCTTAGCTTACTGTAAAAAATTAATTACTTAAAATTTTTAAAAAGATATACGTCATTACTTACCTAGAAATAAGAAATAATATTGACTAAAAATACTTGGGAAATGGGATGTTTGCATGAGCTGATGACATATTAACAGAGATAATTTTAAGTAATTATGTAAACACTGATAGTTATAAATATTTCTAGACTATATCAATATACAAACATGCCTTTGTGTTGTGCTTTACTTAATAAAATAGTACTTGTTGACCACTGATCTTACGGAGCTTTAAAGTTATCACCATTGCTATTATTTTTACATTATTAAAGCTGTTAGTGCTATAGGAAGTTTATTGTCCTCTGTCCCTAGCTGAGGTTTGACTATAATAAAATATACTTACAAAAAGCCTCTTTCAGATCCCCAACTCAGTGGTTTAATAACTGGAGGAAAAGATGTTGCTCCTAACAGATTATTAATTAATCATATCAGGATTCAAAAATCTTAAGTACTGTTTTTAGAAGTTCATTAAATTTTTAGCTTTCTAATAAGACTTGTTAAAGATGAGCTACTTATCTATATTACAAATTGGTATTAAAAATATGGCCTTGTTCATTTTTAAGAATTACATTTTTCAAAGAAAGGTAGATGCATTTCTTTTATTTTTTTTTAAAAACATAGTTTGAAATAGAAGTTAGTAAACTCTCCAGTGCTGATTTGCTGAGCTGACTCATCTGCTGGGCTTCATCAGGGAATGCAGTTTCACACATGAGTAGACTGTCCGTAAAACAGGTGCTTTAACTAATCACCCTAAGTTTTCATTTGTATTATTTGTATTAATTTTTCTAAAATGTGTTATCATTCCCCAGTTATCCTAAATAGTCTCCTAAATATAATCTAACTTTTCTTTTATCTCAGAATTGTCATTATAAATTTCAGTTTTTAAACTATGCTAAAAGACCGTGACGCCTCAAGGGCTACCAAAGTGTTAGGACTATTTGTTTCACTCGAAATGGTCCCAGTGAGTTGTGCTAGATAATTAAAAGTAGACAGAAACTCTATGTGTTATATTAGGTCTGTTTCTGCTTAAAGTCATCATTTCTCACTGCATCACTGTACCCTTTCTCATATAACCTGCTGCCTAACATTATATTAGGCTGTTTGAATGATGATTTCTCCTTTCAAATCAATTATTCCTTGAACTTGGCGGCAGTAGTGAGTTCCTTAAAGGCTTTTTTCTACCTACTTTCAAATTCAAGGTTATGTTCATGATAGCTTAGTTATTCTAAATTTTCCTATTTTATCTGTAAAATAACATCACAGATATAAATGCAATGAGAAATGTTCCATGACTACACATGATAAAGTCAACATGAAATTCAACATTACATACCTGTGTAAATGAGAACTCTTGTCTAACATTTTTTAAGTGAGAAGTTATAGCATTAATTCGATCTTCATAGTCACGTAGCTGATCTTGCAAGCTTGACTTTTCATCCTGCAGCTTTGACAACTGTAAATAATAAATATGATGATTAGCTAAAGTCTACTAAGTTTTCACCATATTTAAGGATGTAAAATCAAAAGAAAATTAAATCTTCATTTACTTTGCTTTTTTAAATATCAATTTGAACTTCAAAAATCTACTGTCCTTTCAATTATAAAATAGTGCTATGATTTAGAAATTACTGTGGGAAAATTAGCACAATATTAAAACAGAATAGAAATCTCTCTCAGATTTGCAACATTAGCAGGGTCCACAGCTAAAATGCATTTTAAACAGAAAAAAATGAGACTCTATTCCATAATTAAATGACAAGATCTCTAAATCAAACAAGGGTATAGTAACAATGCTTAACAACAAAAAATAGATCATGAACCATAAATCTGAAAAGTAGCGGGACACCAGGTATAATAGCTCCTCCCTGAACACCTATTTAAAACCAGTAGACTTAAGGCTAAGCTTAACAGAACAGAACTAACTCTCACATGCTTAGAACCTGTTTCTTAATGCATTTTGTATCTTTGAATTAGAACCCTACTCTGAACCAAAACAATGTAAATGCAAGAAGAATAAAAATAAAGAAACAAAAACAAACTTTAGGAAGTTGCAAGATAGATTCTCAGGACCATTAGAATATGTCATCCCTCAAAGCAATATAAAAGCTCAACAAAACAAAAGCATGCTTCTTTATAGTCTTGAGCTGTGATTCCCAAAGTGGGGGCTACAACTCAGGGAGCAACACAATTCACCAAAGTGCAGAAGAAAATATTTGAATTTTGAACTAAGGAAGGAAAAAAATACTAATTTACTCATTTGTTACGTCCTATCTTTTATTAAACTTAGTAATATTAAATATGTATCTTTTCCTTTTTATTTCATTAATTTCAATTTTTAATTCCCTCTCTTGTTTATTTTGTTGTTCTTTTCTTTTTAATTTATTAAAAGTTCTTAGTTTCTTATTTTTTGTATTACTGATTGTTATGGGCTGAATGTTTGTGTCACCCCCAAATTCATATGAAGCCCTAATCCTCAATGTGATGGTATATGGAGGGGGAGCCTTTGGGAGGTAAACAGGTTTAAATTAGGACATAAGGGTGGGGCACTCATGATGAGATTAGTGTCCTTATAATAAGAGAGAAACCAGAGAGGCTCTCTCTCCGCCTTGAGAGAACACAGCAAGAAGGCAGCCATTTACAAGCCAGGAAGAGTGCTCTCACCAGAACCTAGCCATGCTGACATTATGATCTCAACTTCAGCTTTCAGAACCTGAGAAATAAATGTATGCTTTTTAAAATCACTCAGGCTATGGTATTTTGTTAGAGCAACCCAGGCTGATTAAGACACTGATTCAAAATGAAGGCATTTAAGGCTATAAGTTTTCTCTAAGTAAGAGTTTTGCTGCTTCCCATGGATGTGGGTATGAAGCAATCTCCTTTTATAGTTTTCTAATTGGTAACTTTTTCCTTTCAACTTTTCTTTGATAAAACAGCGATCCAGAAATATATTTCTAAGAAACTTGCCTAAGTATTTCAGTTGAATTTCTTTTTTAAAAAAAATATATCTTTATTGATTTCAGAGAGAGGAAGGGAAAGGGGGAGAGAGGGAGAGAGAGACAGAAACATCAATGATGAGAGGCATTGATCGGCTGCCTCCTGCACGCCCCCGACTGGGGATCGAGCCTGCAACCCGGGCATGTGCTCTGACCAGGAATCAACCCGGATCTCCTGGATCCTAGGTCCACGCTCAACATTGAGCCACGCCGGTCGGGCGCCAAAAAAATCAGTATTTGAATGGAATTTTAACCTATATTAATGTCTTTAGAGTTGTAGAACAACCCTATGAGACAATTATTTTACTTATCTTCGGTTTACAGAAGAAGAAACCGACTCAGTGCTGGTAGGTAGGATTCAGGGCTGGATACCTCTTAATACTATTATGCCTCAGTCCTTAGAGCTAGATCTCTAACATTCCCTAATGCTGCCCTTCATTGAAAACAAAAACGAAAACTGTAGCCATCTAAATTAGGCATGAGTAAATACGTCAGACTATTTTGAAGAGAAAAAAAAAGAGTGAAGGATTTTCTTTTTTCAGAAGAGAGAAAACCTTCTCTCTCATTCTCTAAGTAGCGTCAACATCATCTGTTCTTCTCGGGTCCTACCACGTGATGGAACTTGAGACTGACCGCTGAAGGCTTTTTCAAGTTCCCTGAGTTGGATGCAATTTTATTTGGAACAACTACTCTGCGCTGGTTGTAAGCTGATGTAAAATACTCCCTACAACTTAGAGTATTTTACAACATTCCGTGACAATTTAATTCTCCATTTGAAAGCTGCACATATTACATTCTTACTAGAACGTCCCTCCTAAAAACATGTCTTCGAGTCACTTTCAATCTTAAACATCGCAGGCCGAACTCACAGAGGAGTGTGAGCCACACGTGCTTTGTTTCTACACGCCCGCAGCAACCGTTGCTATGCACGCCGCAGACGTCCCAGGGCAAAGCGCGCTTCCCCCTCCGGCAGGAGAAGGTGGGCGCGGGAGGCAGCCTTTCCTCTCCTGCCCAAGAGTCTGGAAATGAGTACTTGGAGGGGGAGAAGAGGAGGGAGTCGATTCGGGCGTTATAGTCCTGAATACCAATTATTTCAATACATTTTTTAATGCTTAGCAACTACCGAAATGGGCGGAAGGTAAGGAAGCCAGGAGGGATGGTGCGGAGAAGAGATGGGATTAGGGAAGGAAAGAAGAGAAATATAAAAGGATTGGGGTATTCCTACCAACCACCAAACTCAGTCTGCCTCCCCCCCCCCGAAAATAAAAGGACCCCCTCCTTCCCCAGCCTTCCTCACCGGATCCTCACCTGATCTTCCAGAATCTTGTTCTCCTCGTTCGCCACGGGGATGGCGAACCCATCCTCCCAGTGCAGCTCCGCCAGAAACTCGCTACTCATGATGGCGAACGCGACCCGCGCAGAGAAGAGACCCGCCTATTCCTAAGGCCAGTGAGCGGACCCGCGCAGCTCAGGTGTAGCAGCTTCCGGAGCCCTAGCAACCGTCCGCGCCCTTAGTTACCAAACAGGAAGCGCTCGGAGCCCGAGGCGGAACTTCCGGTCGAGAACTCCCTCCCGCACTCCGAGAAACCCTTTTCTTCTTAAATCGCCCCGGGAAGCGAGACACCTTACTCCTCCGGGGCTTCGCTGGGGTTGCCCGGCGCCGGCCAAACTTTGCCTGAAATGCGGCTCCGGATCGTCCCCCGGCGCCTCCGGAGACTGTACAGCGGGGGGCGCCTGCAGTCACCCGGGGCCACCGGGCACGAGCCTGGCTGGGGTGGCAGCTGGCGGGTCGCGGCGGAAGAGGAGCGCCAACGAGAGTCCGACCCGGGCTTCCTTTGCAAGCGGTGTGTGCGTTTCACCCGCATACGAAATCCAGCAGGCTGACCTGGACTTGGGGTTTGAAGCGAATTCTATTCCTGGAGCAAATTCTCTTCCCGGGGGATTTTGAGGTCTCGGTGTTTCTTTCTCCGGCCTCCCGCACCGGCGCGCCTGCCCCCTGCGCCGCCCCAGGCGACCCCGTCTCGGTGTTTCTCTCTCCGGCCTCCCGCACCGGCGCGCCTGCCCCCTGCGCCGCCCCAGGCGACCCCGTCTCGGTGTTTCTCTCTCCGGCCTCCCGCACCGGCGCGCCTGCCCCCTGCACCGCCCCAGGCGACCCCGTCTCGGTGTTTCTCCGGCCTCCCGCACCGGCGCGCCTGCCCCCTGCGCCGCCCCAGGCGACCCCGTCTCGGTGTTTCTCTCTCCGGCCTCCCGCACCGGCGCGCCTGCCCCCTGCACCGCCCCAGGCGACCCCGTCTCGGTGTTTCTCTCTCCGGCCTCCCGCACCGGCGCGCCTGCCCCCTGCACCGCCCCAGGCGACCCCGTCTCGGTGTTTCTCTCTCCGGCCTCCCGCACCGGCGCGCCTGCCCCCTGCACCGCCCCAGGCGACCCCGTCTCGGTGTTTCTCTCTCCGGCCTCCCGCACCGGCGCGCCTGCCCCCTGCACCGCCCCAGGCGACCCCGTCTCGGTGTTTCTCTCTCCGGCCTCCCGCACCGGCGCGCCTGCCCCCTGCACCGCCCCAGGCGACCCCGTCTCGGTGTTTCTCTCTCCGGCCTCCCGCACCGGCGCGCCTGCCCCCTGCACCGCCCCAGGCGACCCCGTCTCGGTGTTTCTCTCTCCGGCCTCCCGCACCGGCGCGCCTGCCCCCTGCACCGCCCCAGGCGACCCCGTCTCGGTGTTTCTCTCTCCGGCCTCCCGCACCGGCGCGCCTGCCCCCTGCACCGCCCCAGGCGACCCCGTCTCGGTGTTTCTCCGGCCTCCCGCACCGGCGCGCCTGCCCCCTGCGCCGCCCCAGGCGACCCCGTCTCGGTGTTTCTCTCTCCGGCCTCCCGCACCGGCGCGCCTGCCNCGGCGCCGAGGTGCCAAACCCGCAGCGCAGTTTGCGGTCCCTCCCGCGCCGCTCGAACCTTTGTTTTTCTTTACGTTTCATCTGTTAACATTTACAAATCTTTTAATTTCACATAAAAATGTGTATTTCTTCCTAATCTCAAAAAAGGCGAGGAAACACAGCCCACTCTGTCGGCTGAGGCTGCGCCCCTTTAGATGGCAAGCACAGTTTGAGTCACTCGCTTGACGCTGGTGGGCATTTGTGTTTATAGCCTCTGTTGTTTAACGTCTCAGAACTGGAAAGGACAATACAATCAACCTATCTAATCTTTTCATTTTCTAAATAAGTAAGCTGAGGCTCCCGGAGGGGAAGCCATTAAAGTCGGCAGGACCTAAGTTAGGACACAGGTTTCATCCAAATTATACTCTGCAATGAAGGGTTTTCTTGGGTGGAACACCCTCTACCACTGCATGGTGAGCCTCAGTTAATTTTGCTTATTCAATAAACTATCTGTAGGGTTGTTGTTGTTTTTTGACCTTTTGAATTTTACTTGACCTGGACTCTGTTAAACTTTCTTAATAAAAAGTTTACATAAGAATACAGAGCAGGATATAATGAACCCCCATCTACTCACCATCTCAATTTATCATTCATATTTTGCCACATTAGCTTCATCTATATGTTTTGCCGAAGCATTTAAAGTAAATCACAGGTAACATGACATTTCACCCCTAAAAATTTGAGCATCATCACTAATATTTAACATTTAATGTTTTCTAACACAAATATGTCATTATCACATCTAACAAAATTTACCAATATCAAAATTCTTAAATGTCATCTAGTAACCATTACATATTCCTATTTCCTCAATTGTCCTGAGAATGTCTTTTACTGTTGATTTGTTACCGTACTTATGAAATCCTCTTGTAGTAGCTTAGTCTCTGTGCTTACATGGTTTTCCATATAGTTAATCTTATGGACTTAGAAATGTCTTCAAAGACCAGAATTAACAAGGCATTTTATTCCCTACTTCTACAATACCTAAACTCCCAAGGTGGTGGGAGAGAAAGACTCAGCCTCTAGAGGGAATTTGAACTGTGGGGAATAATGGAATTTTAGACCTTCAATAACCTTATAGAAGATCATCTTTTATTTTATAATAGTTTAGTCATTTCTACTAATGAAAATGTTAATACCCAGCATATATTAAGATGGCATATAGTTATTTATATTTGAGATTTGTTATGGCAATTCTGTTATTTAAAATTATTAGTGTTGTTATTATCCATGTGTCTTAAGTATTCTTTCTAATTTCTCATCCCAGTTCCTAATGTGAATACTGAGGCAGCTGGCTTGTCCTGTGCCAATCTGTTGATCCACCCCTCTCAGTGTCAGCTGTAGCTGCCAAATGCATGACGGCAGCTGTCTTGCTGGGCACTTCCCTAGGCCCCAAGGACGTAAGAAGTCAGGCAGCCAAATCCCTGCAAAGAGTCCCATTTCCCATATCTCAAGGATTCTGTTTCCTGAGTTTCAGGATGACAATTATACAATGTTGAATTTTAGACAAAATTTTCATACATTTTCCAAAGTCTACATTTCCTCCTTAAAACAATATTCCTGCTTCTCCCCTTTGTCGCCACAGCATTCTGTGTCATCCAGTTCCCACTTATAATTCTACAACTTCTAGATCATAATTCTATTTTAATTCATTAATATTTAGATTTGGAAACGAAGACCCAAAGTTTTTTAACCTTGTCGCTGACCATGAGATAGTCAATTTAATTTCAAAATACTCAGATGTTAGCCTTCTGCTATCTCATTCTCAAGTAGTTAACTTTATCCAAATCAGGTTGTTCGGGCTAAAACGTAAAGATTTTTTTTCTGCAAAAACAATGCGATTTTTTAAATTAAAAAATACATATATGTATAAAGAAAAAGGAAAGGGTAGCCTTCACTTCCATGACAAGCTCATTCCCAAGAGGTTGCCACTGTTTTGTGTTTATTCTACCAGAATTTTTTAAATGAAGTTAGAACTATATACATATATTGATTTTTTCCTATAGAAATAGAATCATGCTACAAATATTCTTTTGCAAATTCATTTGTTCACGCAACAACAGTGGGCATGTTTCCATGTCAGTACATTAGATCTTTGGTTTTTGAATGGCAGCTTATAGTCCACTATTATTAATTTTAACTTTTTAAACAATGCTGCAAAGAACATCTTTATAATACTGTCTTTAGTCACTTGCAGGGTATACTTATTTTCATATTTTAATATGTCTGAAATTGGGATTTATCTCTCAATCAGTGTCCTAGATTTGGTGAATAAAATAAAGTTTTGCCCACCTACATATGAGTTTCTGCTGAATATATTCTTAGGAGTAAAGTTAATGGAAAACAAATCTAAGCAATTTTATTTTGGTACATACCACTAAATTTTCTTTCAAAACGTTTTTACATACCAATGGAGTATGACAGTATCTTTGCATATTCTGGAGATTATGAAATAATATATATTTTACAACCAAAGAGAAAAATATGGTATCTTGTTTATTGACAGTTTTATGATTATGAGTGAGACTTAGCATCACATTTATTCTGTAAGAATTCCTTTATCATAACTTTTTCCATTTTTTCCTGTTTGGCTATCTCTTCTTACTGAATTATTGCAGTGCTTTACATGCTATAGATAGTATTCCTTCCCTGTGTATGTGTATGAATAATAACTTTCTCCCGATCTGTTTTTTTGGCTTCTTTAACTTGGTTTTTAGTACGTTTTGCCATACACCCATGGGAAGCTGCTGCTGTTGTCATCAGTGTGCTTCATATTTCAATGGATACATTCATTATCAACTCACCCAATCTATGGCTTACATTCAGTTCAGCTATTCCTTCCCTACTAAAACACTTTCTTCTCTTGGCTTTTATGACTCCTCTATCATTTTCCCATTAACCTTCTCAGTCTCCTTTGCAGCTTCATCTTATCCTGGTTGGCCTCTTGATGTTGCTATTTCTCAAGACCCAAAACTGGTCCCTCTACTCTTCTCTTCTTACACTTGCTTCCTAGGTTATCATATTCATTTACATGACTTTAAATACCATGGCTGGTATTTTTTTTAATAGCTCCCATTGATATTTCTCTAGCCCAGATGACTCTTCTGCACACCAGTCTCATATCCAACTGCCTACCTGACAATTACATTGAGATATCACCTAGATATCTCATATCTGACCCATAGGTCCAAGACAGAATTCTTGATCTCACCTTCAATAAATCACTATTACTTCTTACTTCTACCCCCACCCCGATCTATATTGCTTCTATCTCCATCTCCTGCCTCCACTCTAATTCAGACTACCATCATCTCTCACTGCAGAACGGCAATTGCCTCCTCAACAACCCCCCTTCCACTCTTGTTCCCCTAAAATACATTCCCCCTCAGCAGTTAAGGTACTCTTCTATTTCCAACATCGATTTTAAAATGTTTTCCACATACAGAAAAGTTGAAATAATTTTACAGTGAACACCAATATCCCCTTGATCTAGATGTTTCCTAGATCCTACCATTGATGTTTGACTATTCTTGTCATCACATGTCTACCCATTCATCAATTCATGT